CTTAATATGCATCAAACTCAGTCGATTTAATCTTTCCTACCTTTCAAATATTTGTTTCTCATGTGGCGTACTTTCCTCCGTAGGATTAGGTGGTTGATCCACACGAAGCGCCAAGTCCATATCCATGCACCCTAATGAGAAAATGAGTTTTGTCTTTCCAATCATCAAAGTTATCACCACAGAGCATTGGAACAACATAAGTAGTAGGAATAACTGCAATAATCAAGGAATTTAAACTTTAGTGCTATGAAATAAAAATTGGTTTCTAAACAACCAATGTCAGTTTAGAATAGATCCAAAATAAATTCAAACCTTCCTATGGGTAGAGGTCGAATCACAAATGAATTTATTCTTGCTTTATTAATAAGACTAATCAAAATTAATATCAAGAAATAAATTATTCCACACCTATGGGGTTAGGAAAAATTTATTCTTAATATTTTTTAATATCTTATTCCAATTAATCCAAAATAATAATAACTTCCCTATGCAAGTTACTATTTCTTAAAATCAATTGCAATCTAGATATCATTAAAACTTAATAAAGTGTGTTAATATTTATTCGACTATCCTCATGACATAAGATGTTATGGCTACTCTTAAGTCACTTGGTGATCACTGTTACTTCATGACATTATAAAACCAAACTTCAAGTCTATATTTTATAAAAGGCAAGAAATAACTTTAATAAAGAAGTACTTCATATTATCAAAAGGACTTGAAGTTTCAACTACAACTACTTAATTCCAGGATCTTTACAAAGAAAATATTATTCAAAAAATCTACATATGTAGAAGGTTTTGAAAACCAAAAGCATGCAAATTTTGCTGATGTTATATAACTACAACATAACTAGATAACACCGCGAAACATAGTGGCAGAAGTAGCTTCATTGTGATCTTATAACAATTTTAGAATACAAAATATTAGGAAATATTAGTGAAACAAATTAATTACAAATCCTCAGTAAAACCAAAGTGTCCGACAACTCACACATGGGCTTAATAACCTGTTTCACTCATAGCTATATTTATTTCATAAAATATTTACAAGATGAAGATATTGTCAATATTAGCAGAGAAAAACACAACTATAAATTGCCTTTTACTACAATATAAACATTAGATATTAATGTTTATATAAACTCTATAAGCGGTACACATCAAAGCAAAACAAGATCTAAAAAAGTGTAATTACAGATTGTAGGCGTTTAAAATTGCACATGAGAGCCCGCACGAAACTCGAAGCAAAGAGTGGACGAGTCAAGAAGGTTTACCTAATTAGCTCGCGCGCGTCGGTCAACACGTGTGCATCAATCAGCTCGCGCGCGTCGGTCAACATGCGCGCGTCAATCAGCTCGCTCGCGTCGGTCA